CACACCGTCAGCACCAGTACCAGGTAATTCCGCCTCCACACACCTACCTTACACGCCAGGGGAGGAGGGGGACCGAAAAACACCGGATGTGACATAGCAAAGGTGAGGGGGGGGAGACATATATCCAAGGTTAAGAGAGGGGACGGAGGGGGGTTATGTGGCATACGTCCAGTAACGGTGTACCATTCGAGTAGATGGAGGCGGTCCAGATATTACACCCTCCCCTCCCTCCTCCCTCTCCTCCCCCTCCCCATCCATCCCCACACACGTACACCCCAAGCTGACCCCCACCACCTCAACAACCACAATCACCACCTACAGGAGACAGCCAGTACCTACCTGACGATACATCTCACCTCCTCTGTACGGTAAAGTCTCCATATAACGGACTTTTGCCTCCATATAACCTTCGTTAGATGGGGAGTTCATATTCAATGGTCTCGATATAACGAACTTTCATATCGTTATAGTTCGTTAAATGGAGGTTACATCTAACGGACCCTCAATGTAACGAATTCCTCTCCATATAGTCCGTTAAATAGAGGTTTGACTGTAACTTTGTGCCTGGGGTGAAATGAGACATCTCCATATTGAGATCAAGTTTTTGTCCAAGGGAGGAAAGGGAGATCGTGTCCTGAAGTTTATAGTTTAAGGAGATTTTGTCCAAGAGGGAATTTTGCCCTGAACACACACAACCTCAATGGTCTGCTCCTGCTAGTATGAACACCTGAAGAAATAAATTATAGAACATTGTACCACTTATAACACATCACCCCAGAGCTCTCTTGTGTCCGCTCCTTCACCATAACCTAACCAAACCCAACCCAACCAAACCAAACCCAACCCAACCTAACCCAATCCAACGTAACCCAAGCAAACCCAAATAACCTATCATAACCAACCCAACCCCTAATCCAAAGCAAACCAAAACCCAACCAAGCCAAACCCAACCCAGCAAACCAAACCTAACCAAACCCAATCCCAGCAACCCAAACAAACCCAACTAACCCTAACCCAAACCAAACCCACCTAACCAAACCAAACCCAGCAACCCAACCAAACCCAACCTAACCAAACCCAACCTAGCAAACCCAGCAACCAAGCCAAACTCAACCAAACCCAGCAACCCAACCCAACCCAACCAAACCCAACCTAACCTAACCAAGCCAAATAACCTATCATAACCCAACCCAACCTAACCAAAAGCAAACCAAACCCAACCTAACAAACCCAACCCAACCAACCAACCTAACCAAACCCAACCAAACCCAATCCCAACCCAATAAAGCCCAATCAGCCAAACCCAACCTAACCAAACCCAAGCAAACCCACCAACAAACCCAACCCAACCAAACCCAACAAACTCAAGCAAACCCAAGCAAACTCAAACAAACCCAAACAGGCAAACAGAGCCGACAAATCCAACCCAAATAACCTATCATAACCCAACCTACCTATAGACCTCGTCCTCACAGACTTGTACTGATATATATACAACAACAACAACAACAATCATAATACCTCCTAACTTCACCTTTTTGTGGTTCACCTGTATACATAATTACAGGTGTGGTGGTGGAAATGCAGATGAGTCAGGATATACTGTACTTGTATTATTCTTAACAAGGTTCTTTTAACAGGATGAACACTGGTAAACATATGACTTGAATGTTGCTTCAGTTACCACGTCCTAACACCTGAGGGTTATTTCTATACAAAGAGTGGTTATATTTCCTTAGTTTGGCCCCTTATGTACAAAAATGTTTGACAGATAGACAGACAAACGAATGCTAAATCATATCCCTGACCCACAGGAGGATAACAAATCTGAAGTTGACCACAGGTAAGAAACGTTGTGTGTGTGTGTGTGTGTGTGTGTGTGTGTGTGTGTTTTATTAAAGGTTGTTGTTTCATAGTGACTGTGTGTTGGTAGGCGAGCGATAGTCACCATCGTTAACATGATCACTGGGGAGGAGGACACTGATAACCATGCCCACTCACTCGCTTACCTGGAAAAAACAAGTAAATTATAGCATAGTTTTATTAAACATTATAGGTAAATATAACACACACACAACAGACATCAACACCTGTCCTTGATTAAATTACCAAGAGGCAGTGATTCACACAGGTGCTTCTCAGAACAAAGGTACAGCACCACCATCCTCACAACCCAACATGGTGACCCCCACCTATGGTAGCCTAACCTAACCTGATCACACCTTCCAACACCTGAGGAACGCGACACACACACACACACACACACACACACACACACACACACACACACACACACACACACAAACCTCTGGCCATAACTCACCTCCCCGGGTGTCCTGCAAGCAGCACTGGACGGCGGCAGTCGGGTATGGCCACGCAGTCAGAGGTCTAGGTGGCCAAGGGAACGATGGCCAATATGGTAATAGGGCAAGTGGAGGGCCATTTAAGGTAAACATAATAGCTTTGTGACCTGGACACTGGCCACACCTGGAGAAGTACTGTACACTCTCACTCACTAGCGGGAGATGGTAGACACTGGTCAGGGTTTACACAAGGGCCACTTTTACACACACAAGGGGCCACTTTTACACACACGGGTCACCTTTACACACACTCTACTGGCCACGATAACAGAGGCCACCGAGCGAATAACGCAACGCAATACACAGGTTCGAATCTCAAGTTAGGGAGACGCGCGCGCGTGTGTGTGTGTGTGTGTGTGTGTGTGTGTGTAGGAGGGGGACCGCTGGCTGTGTGGTGACAGTGTGGTAGACGTGATAACTGTGGTAGTGGCGGCTGTGTGGAGTGTACCTTCAGCCACTCAACAAAGGGCCTTCGTTATCATCATGTTCTACTAACCGATTACACACACACACACACACACACACACACACACACACACACAGGGGTCCCGTACCTGTGAACTAACTACCCAGACGGGCTGGGGAGGGAGGAGGAGAAGCTAGGGGGAGGAGGGCTAGGGGAGGAGGAGAAGCTAGGGGGAGGCTGGGGAGGAGGGAGGAGCTAGGGGAGGAGGAGGAGGCTGGGAGGAGGAGGAGGAGGTGGGAGGAGGAGGGAGGAGGAGGTGAGGAGGAGGGAGGAGGAGGAGGTAGGAGGACGATGCTGTACAAGTGTTGCTTAGAGTGCCTGATCCCATCCCCCAACAAGCAGGTATTAGCGTCCACTGATCACTGGAGCACATGACACCACTGCTTCTTGTATACTAGATAATACATGTTTACACGTTTCTGGGAAGAGTGCTTATACTGTATATGTAGTCATCATCATCATCATCATCATCTCTCATCATCATCTCTCTCTCTCTTTCTTCAGTGATGGAAGAAGCGGCAGAAAACACCTTTTCTCTGGATGGTCTTCTGCTCACCCTCTACCACAACCACCACTACAACAACCAGTTCACCCTCTCCACAACCACCACTACAACAACAGTTCACCCTCTCTACACACTACAACAACCAGTTCACCCTCTACCACAACCACCACTACAACAACCAGTTCACCCCTCTACCACAACCACCACTACAACCGTTCCCTACACAACCACCACTACAACAACCAGTTCACCTCTACCCACCACAAACACAGTTCACCCCTCTACCACAACCACCACTACAACAACCAGTTCACCCCTCTACCACAACCACCACTACAACAACCAGCTCACCCCTCTACCACAACCACCACTACAACAACAGTTCACCCCTCTACCACAACCACCACTACAACAACAGTTCACCCCCTACCACAACCACCACTACAACAACCAGTTCACCCTCTACCCACAACACCACTCAGTCCTCTACCACAACCACCACTACAACAACCAGCTTCACCCCTCTACCACAACCACCACTACAACAACAGTTCACCCCTCTACCACAACCACCACTACAACAACCAGTTCACCCTCTACCACAACCACCACTACAACAACCACCCCCAACCAGTTCACCCCTCTACACAACCACCACTACAACAACCAGTTCACCTCTACCCACAACCACACACACATCAGCTCACCCCTCTACCACAACCACCACTACAACAGTTCACCCTCTACCACAACCCCACAACAACAGTTCACCTCTACCACACACACTACAACAACCAGTTCCCCTCTAACAACCACCACTACAACAACCAGCTCACCTCTACCACAACCACCACTACAACAACCAGTTCACCTCTACCACAACCACCACTACAACAGTTCACCCTCTACCACAACCACCACTACAACAACAGTTCACCCCCTACCACAACCACCACTACAACAACCAGCTCACCCTCTACCACACCTTCTCTACCACAACCACCACTACGCTCACCCCTCTACCACACCACCACTAACAACCAGTTCACCCTCTACCACAACCACCACTACAACAACCAGCTCACCTCTACCCACAACCACCACTACCCACCAGTTCACCCTCTACCACAACCACCACTACAACAACCAGTTCACCCCTCACACAACACACTACACAACCAGCTCACCCTCTACCACAACCACCACTACAACAACCAGTTCACCCCTCTACCACAACCACCACTACAACAACCAGCTCACCCCTCTACCACAACCACCACTACAACAACAGTTCACCCTCTACACAACACCACTACAACCCAGCTCACTCTACCCACAACCACCACTACAACAACAGTTCACCCCTCTACCACCACCACTACAACAACCAGCTCACCCCTCTACCACAACCACCACTACAACAACAGCTCACCCTCTACCACAACCACCTACAACAACCAGTTCACCCCTCTACCACAACCACCACTACAACAACCAGCTCACCCTCTACCACAACCACCACTACAACAACAGTTCACCCTCTACCACAACCACCACTACAACCAGTTCACCCCTCTACCACAACCACCACTACAACAACCAGTTCACCCCTCTACCACAACCACCACTACAACAACCAGTTCACCCCTCCACCACAACCACCACTACAGCCACAACCACCACTCAACCAGTTCACCTCTACCACAACCACCACTACAACAACCAGTTCACCCTCTACCACAACAGTTCACCCTCTACCACAACCACCACTACAACAACCAGTTCACCCTCTACCACAACCACCACTACAACAACCAGTTCACCTCTCTACCACAACCACCACTACAACAACCAGTTCACCCCTCTACAACCACCACTACAACAACCAGCTCACCCCTCTACCACAACCACCCTACAACAACCAGCTCACCCCTCTACCACAACCACCACTACAACAACCAGCTCACCCCTCTACACAACCACCACTACAACAACCAGTTCACCCCTCTACACAACCACCACTACAAACCAGTTCACCCCTCTACCACAACCACCACTACAACAACCAGTTCACCCCTCTACACCACCACACAACAACCAGTTCACCCTCTACACAACCACCACTACAACAACCAGTTCACCCCTCTACCACAACCACCACTACAACAACCAGTTCACCCCTCCACCACAACCACCCTACAACAACCAGTTCACCCTCTACCACAACCACCACTACAACAACCAGTTCACCCCTCCACCACAACCACCACTACAACAACCAGTTCACCCTCTACCACAACCACCTACAACAACCAGTTCACCCTCTACCACACCCTCAACACAGTTCACCCCTCTACACAACCACCACTACAACAACAGTTTCACCCCTCCACCACAACCACCACTACAACAACCAGTTCACGTCTCCACCACAACCACCACTACAACAACTAGTTCACCCCTCTACCACAACCAGTTCACCCCTCTACCACAACCAGTTCACCACACATATCCTGAGCTTAGATACAGTATCAAGGTGAGTCAGCAACTGAGCCGTACGTCAACAACAACAAGGTCTCAATCACAACAACAACAAGGTCTCGTCGTCAACAACAACAACACGTCACCAACCTTGATCTACATTAATACAACTTGTCCCCATAACCACTAACAGCACCAAGACCTCATTATCTCTCTGACTCACTCACACCATATTAATACCGTAGCAGTAGTTGACGGTCAGGTAGTTGACGGCCAGGTAGTTGACGGTCAGGAAATCAACCCAACCTAACCTAACCAGACCTCCACTTTACAGCACCTTAGAGATTTAAAACATCTTTCTGTAGGTGAGGTCAAACTTCCCCCGCGTCACCACCACAAGCCATCAGGTGAGACATTTTTGCGTGTACGTTTAGGTGACAGAAGAGGAAGGAAGGGAGGAAGGGGGCTAACAGAAGAGAAGGAGGGAGGAAGGAACAAGGAAATACAGAAGTGGGCGGTGCAACACGTCCCACCGCCCATGAGAACTGTGCCGGACAACGACCTCCTCAACACACACACACACAGGTCCTGGCTCAGCTCAGACTAAGTATACTAAATATAGTGTACAGAGATACCTGAACAGTTCTTCTTTACAGCAAGAACAGAGGTAGCGGATTGTAGCCTCTGTCTTGTTGTGTGTTAGTGAGGGGAGGGGGAGAGGAGGGAGGGGAAGGAGGGGGAGGGAGGGAGGAAGGAGGGAGGTATTCATGACCTAAGGTACGTTGTGTTATTGTGCTGTTGAGAGTGGGGTGCAAGAGGAGGGGGGTGTAGTGGGGGGGTAGTGTGGGGAGTAGTGGTGGGGAAAGCAGTGGTGGTGGGGAGTAGTGGTGGTGGGGAATAGTGGTGGTGGGGAGTGAGTGGTGGTGAGAGAGTAGTGGTGGTGGGGAGATGTGAGTGGTGGTGGGGAGTGGTGGTGAAGTGTGGTGGTGGATGTGGTGGTGGAGGTGTGGTGGGAGTAGTGGTGGTGGGGGTAGTAGTGGTGGTGAGGGGAGTGGGAGTGAGGTGGTGGTGGTGAGGTAGTGGTGGTGAGGTGGTGGTGGTGAGGTAGTGGTGGTGGGGGAGGAGGGTGGTGAGGGAGAGTGGTGGTGAGGAGATGAGGTGGTGAGGAGGTGGGGGTGGTGAGGGGGGTGGGGTGGGGGGTGGGGGTTGGTGGGGGGTGGGGTGTGGGGAGGGGTGGTGGGGGAGTAGTGGTGGGAGTGGTGGTGGTGGTGGTGGAGGTGGTGGTGGGGTGGTGGTGGAGATGGTGGTGGTGGAGATGGTGGTGGGGTGGTGGTGGTGGGGTTGGTGGTGGTGGAGTGGGGTTGGTTGGTGGGGTTGGTTGGGGTGGGGAGTTGGTGGGGAGGTGGGGGTTGGTGGGGTGGGGTTGGTGGGGATGGTGGTGGTGAGGTGGTGGTGGTGGGGGTGGTGGTGGTGGGGTGGTGGTGGTGAGGTGGTGGTGGTGGGGGAGTGGTGGTGGTGAGAGTGGTGGTGGTGGGGAGTGGTGGTGGTGGGGGTGGTGGTGGTGGGGGAGTGGTGGTGGTGGGGAGTTGGTGGTGGTGGGTGGTGGTGGGGGGTGGTGGTGGTGGGGGGTGGTGGTGGTGGGGGGGGAGTAGTGGTGGTGAGGGGGAGTAGTGGTGGTGAGTAGG